AATATTCACGACTCAAAACATAATCTTGATTAGAAGTTATATCTTTAGAATTAGAAAGTTCCTTGAGAGAAACTGTTATTTCTCTTTTACGTTGTTATACATCATTCCAATTAGTTATCGGATCATTGATCCAAGTCGCTTTATAGATTTTTACTAAATCCTCTTTTGGCAATATATTCTACATCCTTAAATTTTTCATAAGGAACAAATTCCATTCTCCCTTCTTTTCTAGTTAAATTGCATTTTATAAAATTATCAATAACATCATCTCCACACCCATATATATATATTCTATTAAAATTATTGAACAACACGTAGTTAGAAAAAAAACAATGATTTCTAGAAAGTTATTGCTAACTGCAGTAAGTTACTAAAACTAACTAAAAAAACAGTAGTAGATCACTAATATTTTTTTCTTTACGTTATATAGTTGCGATATCTGTAAAAAAATTCAACCATTTTGCGTAATTTTTTAAATGACTGATTATAATAAAAAGAATTCATAATAATAATTTGAGAAAATTCTAAAGAAACAACAAAAAAGTTCGTGTAACAAATAGAACATATTCCTAATAATGGTTTAAAGTTTGATTTTTGTACTTTTTTAAGGAATTTATTGCATTTATTCTAGAAACTTTAATTAGATATAAAATGTTTTATAAAAGGCCATCAATTCAAAGTGAAAATCTTTTTTATTTTTCAAAAAAGGAAAAATATTATTACAAAAAAAAGAAAAAAAACAATTTCTGAACTAAAATTAGAAATTAATCATTGTTCTTTATTTAGTTTCAACGTAATAATCATCATATTCATCATACTTGCATAGAAATTGGAACCAGTTAAGACATTTATTACTGTAACCGGTTACGTAAAAAACAATTTTTAACCGGTTACAGCTGATTTCATAATATACGGGACATACCGAGAGACAACTCGGTACATTCGGCAAAACTCGGTTAGATTCGGAGCACTGGACCGAGCACAGTGGAGCAGTATTCTTATGAAATCAGCTGTAAATTAACTGGTTAAATTAACCGGTTTAAAATGCTGAAAATATTTTGTAATTCTGGCCAAATTTACGGTGCCTGTTTATTTGACACGAACCATGTGAGTGAGTTGCCATCTGTTTATCACTTTATTCGCGATCATTGCAAAGACCAGTTTATCGTGTAACATCCAGATTATTGTTTATGGCAACTCGTATATTGTAATGCTAAGCATAGACCTTCTCTCTGAGCGTCTTGCCACTCATCAACCATTAGGACTTAGTTCCTAAAACCTCCAGTCCTAATAACAAATGTATACCATATTTCATTATCTCCATTACTATTACTTTTTTATTAATACAGTAATACTTTTACAATACTATCTATAAGCTAGCTATTTTATTTGGAACATGAATGACAATTTCTCTGATAGCTGAATTTATCAACTATATATACAAAACGTAACAATACTTATTATGAAAATTTAATCTAATTATTTATATCATGAGCAATTTTAAGAGATTGTGCTTCGTCTTCCGTCATTTCTTTTCATCCCCCATCATTCTTTTTCGTCCCCTTCATCTTCTCATCACTCCTTTTCGTCTCCCATCACTCCTCTTCATCTCCCATCACTCCTTTTCGTCTCCCATCACTCATTTTTGTCTCCCATTTTCGTCTCCCATCACTTCTTTTCGTCTCCCATCATTCCTTTTCGTCCCCCATCACTCTTTTTCGTTCCCATCACTCCTCTTCATCTTCTCATCACTCCTTTTCATCTCCCATCACTCCTCTTCATCTTCTCATCACTCCTTTTCGTCTCCCATCACTCCTCTTCATCTACCATCATGCCATATTTCTCCTTTTTGCAACAGTTTGTATATTTATAAATTGAAGTCATTTTTTTTACAATAACTTTCACTTAAAAGATCTTTTAAAAGTATGTCAAACTCCCCCATGGAAATGACCTCTTGTTATTATATACTACCTACGGTAATTTATTCCTATTATAGCAATTTCTTTGAAATTTAGGAAAACACGCACTATTATGATCTATTTTGCATTATTTGTAATTCCTTTAAGATTTTTGTTGTCACAATTATTATCAAAGTATTATCAACCTCTAACTACCATAGTTATAAACTCTTTATTAGCCATTTTTACAATTCTAGTCTTTAATAGTTTTTATTTTTTCGATAAAAGTTTGAAAAAACGTTCATCTCGTTTACAGAAAACATTAGATAAACTTTGTCAATGACTGATAAACTCGGTTAGTTTTTATGATGAGTTGGCATTTGATTCCGCTTTAGAGAATAAAGTTAATAAAATAACAAAGGAAAGTATTTTCATTTGTATAAAACTATAATTAATGCTAAAAAATCAATATCAAGATATACTGACCACCATTACTTTCACCAAGGCCTGCATATATTTGCTCAATTATTTCTCAGGGATGTAATCATTACAGGATTACATTTCATAAATGGCAGGATTATACACAGTTAAGCCTTTTGAATTATAATACACTACCATATTTCTTAAATAATTGTTCCTATTTAGCATTCATCGCGATGGTAAGTAGGTTTTGTTAATTTTTTTTTCTTGTGCAAAACAGAAAAAAATCCTAATAAATAAATTCGCCCTGCTTTTATAGATTTGGTTTGAGCTCTTATAATTAGTGGTAATCCATAATCGAATTTGATATTTTGAATGGTAATATGAGTTAAAGGTTTCAATGTGAATGGAGAAACCTTTTGTTATTTCAGGAAATTCCATTAAAGAACAGCTTAATAAATATAAATGTTCTTTAAATTTTTTTGATTTGATTAATTCTTGAATATAATTTAAACATGTAATTAATGTTGTTTGAGGGACTTTTTTCAAATCAATTTCCATTGGTTAAAAAGTGTTATCAAGTAATTTAACTTCTTTAATACAAGTTGATCTATTGATGAAATCTTCACATATAAAGTTTTGAGAACATTTATCTTCAATGTTGTTTGATATTTTTCTTCTCTTTGTTATTTGAATACTGCAGAATCACCACAATCTTTATATGAATTATATATGTCGAAAAGTTTTAATAACCATTTTAAAGATACATACATTAAACATCACAAATTAGAGCCGTAGATACATTATATATTTTTCTTATTTTTTATTACACCTAATTAAAAATTTAATGAAGAACTTCAGAATAGAAAATCTCATTTTGGTACCAAAAAAATTATAACTCTGCAGTACAGATTAATTATAAACAAATTAATATGCTTATTTTGAAGGAAATGAATACTGCAAAAAGAATATTTTCTTTTTGAACATTCGGATGAACTTTATTTGGATTAAACAAAACATTTCGTGATGGTACATGTAAGCATATGCGTGCAGCTATATTGTATTAATTAGATTCTTCTATGATAAAAAGTGATGAAAATAAAGAATACAAAAATTTTAAGTTTTCGGTCAAATGATAAAGATTTTGCATCAACTTGGTTTCTTGATTTTCAAAATACAAATTCTTTGACTCTTCAGGAACAGGAATTTCACAATAACTGTCATACAGGCAGTTTTATACTATTTAAATAGTTTAAACAAATAGCAGATTTTTTAATAATTTTGATTCAATAAATATTATTCAAAACGAAATTATTGAACAATTTGAATTAGGAAGGAGTGCATTGATGAACTTATTCAAAATAGTTATAATCTTTGTCGCGTGTTCTTTCACACACAAATTCGAAAAGAAAATAATTAATAAACAGTTGCATTTTCCCAATTTCATTTTTACTCGAATTTGAGCGGCACCAATTAATTAGAAAGATGTCCAAAATGATTGTAACCCAGATTTTGCATAGGAAAAATATGTGATGAAATGTAATACAATCGAACAGTAATGTTGTTCCCTTTATAAAGGGTAAATGCCTAAAGGAATACTTAAAAAAATTGAGTCTGGTCATTAACGTGATGATGATCGACAGTCAATTTTGTAAAAGTATAACGTCCTCCAATTCGCTCCGGACAATCATAATTTTGTTCAATACCTTTGGAAATTTTCATTACACAGGAACTGGTATTGTTCGGGGGTCCTTATCCACACATCTAAATTTATCGTTTATGGTTAATTTGTTATAACAAAAGATGCAACAAAATATCCAGTGACTATAAGTTTAATCGTTAAAAATTTTATTCTCATCCGATACACTCTACTGTATATCAAGAATGTGAGTCATCGAAAAAAGTTGGCAAAAAATGTTGAAGACTGTAGTACTTTTTTGTTATATACTTTTCGTTTTCTTTAGTTTGTAGTAACCGTAAACAATAATAACAGGACCCGGAATAATGCTTCGCCATCATAATAGTATTAAGGTATTGATTTATAATGTGTGCGAAATTTTTTGCCCATTATCTAAAGCAGGTCAAATCACGCACGTGACGTCGAAAAAATTTTTTCTAAATAAACTTTTCGCCATATATACATAACCTTTTAAATATATGTGCTAAGTGTATTTTGGCCTGCTCTGCAAGTTTACTTAGAGCACAAAATGAGGTTTTGAATGCCGTTTTCGATTTATTTGACTTTTCATTTTGTCTATCCATTTTTGGATATGATCGGCAAAATTCTTTTGCTCCTTAAGTAAACTTGCAGAGCAGGCTAATATATGCTTATTTTATGATTTTCAAGTTTATATTAATCTTAATTTATAAAAAATTTAGTACACTCATATTATATCTAATCGCGTGATTTGCCCCGCTTTAGACGATCCCCAATTAGAGATTTTTTGAATGAATGAAAAATTATTATTTGAAAATCTACTAAGAGGAGGTTTAGAACCAAATAAATTATGAGAAAAAACTTGACATTCAGCAAATGCTTCTGATTAACTTCCCTTTACGGTTATGGTTTGATAATAATTAAAAAAAGATATATATAACCTTACCATGCCCACCAAAAATTTTGTTTTTTACAGAATTGTCGAATAAAATAACAAAACATAATATTATAAATCTAACACCATTATGAGACCTCAAAGCTTTTACTTTCTTACCGCTATTTTCATGTTTTTCTACATGACATTTGTTCCAGTCATTGAAGGTAAAGTTCTTACATTCGGTATTTCCTCCATTTTCTTTTTCTAATAATTCGACATTTTGGTTTGATATATAGCATATAGTGCCATCGTAGATTTAGATATGACTTATAGTGATTATAGTAATTGTAGAATTTGGATAGAAGATTCAAATCATAACCGCATAGCTGGAGACGAAAAAGGAGATTATCATGCTTGTGATGGAAGTGATGGCGAGTTTGAAGAAATTGATTTTCCAGCTCAAGAGTACTATGTAGTTGCGAAAGTTGAACTTAGTACTAGGAAACAGAAAGTCCGAGGTCCTTTCACTGGCGAAAACTGTTTTGAAATATCTGGAAATGTTTTTTCGTTTAGTTTTGACCAAATTAACTGTCAATATTAATTGTTATTATGTTATTAAGTTATTATCCCATCATCGGTATTACAGTATATTGAAGTCGTGAATCATTAAATTTATTTCTCTAGTTTCTATTATTTCTACATATTCTTATTTATTATACTTACTGTATTTGTCTCTACTATTAGTTAAACTATTTTTCATAAGTATCTTTGTAAGTCCGTATTGTTATTATTAAATGTTCAGTTCATAGTAAAAATCAAATCATTCTTTATAATCAATATGTAAATAAAAAATTATATTACTTGGAAGAATTAAAAGAATTTAAAAAAGAATTCATGAATATTTTTTACACCGCAATTTTTTATTATGATAAATATTAATTTTTGCGAAATGTATCCCACATTTTTCCCAAATCGAATTATGTAAAATGTGACTTTGATTATAATACATTATAAATCGCAAATTTTTAAATTTTAATTAGTTTTATTGATAGTAAAAATATAATAATTTTGATTCAAAAAATATCATTCAAAACGAAATTATTGATTTGAATTAGAAAGGAGTGCATTAATTGAATTTATTCAAAAATTTTTAGGAAAAAGTTCATTTAAATATATTTAGCATTTCAAAGTTTAAAGCTACAAAAACAAAGTAATACTACTAAAAGTAAATAATTTTATACCTTATTTGAATTATCTAGATTATTTTTATTAAATTTATCTCGTTGTTAATTAATCTTTTTTTTTTTTTTAAAGTTATTTATTTATTGCTTAGCAATTAATATCAGTTACTTGAATGTCAAGCCACACAAATTCAATTTTTCGGTTCACGTAACATTGAAATTTAAAATCAACCCGGGGACCCGGGGTTTATTGTTTATTAGTAAAAAAAGTTTATATATAAAAATCGTGACATTTGATTGGTTGACTTTTAAAAGGGAGATTTATTTTCGCTCTAGAAGTTCTCAGCCGCGTGATAAACTTACCCGCCAATAAAATTACGTCCTGATCACATGATAAATTTTTTATATATAAACTTTTTTTTATTGAAATTTGAAAAAGTGACACGGCCGGGTGAAGTGAACCGAAAATTCGAATTTGTGTGGCCTTAAAGTGATAATATCCTGGGAAAAAAAGATCTCTAAAATAATTTATTTCTTTATTTTCATTGCGCGATGAATACTTTTCATAAAATGTTAATCGCTACCATTTTGTCCATTCGGCGGAATGGAATTCGGGAAATGGACGATTCGATGAAATGATTTCGGTGAAATGCACCGTAACCTGATTTTTCCTATTTTACGATATTCACATAAGTTCCATTACTTCCATATGCCGTATTTAATCCCAACGACAAGTATAGTAAATGCCCCGAAGAGAACAATACTAAAAAAACTCAGATCTGATTTGCATAAACACTAGGGAATGGAAAATCATGTCCAATGATGTAATTATATTACATGAAAATCAATTATTTCGCATGATTGCCATATGCCCTTTCTTTTTTTATTATTCTCCCAAAGTCTTATTATTATTAATCGGGTCAATTTTCTTTCTCGTTCGTCCATTTCTACCGTAAACAGTTGACTAAAGTATCCCAATATATCGTATCCCCTTTTTTAACCAAAAAAAAGGCTCATTTTCTCCTGATTTTCATTATTTAAATATTATAATTTTTCCTAAGTATTGCACGTAAATATTTATAAAATATTTTATTTATAAAAAAATGAGTAATATGCATGGTAGTACAAGGTTAACCCCCTGGAATTTGTATTATGCCCGGATATCTTAGCCAACCAATTTTTATTATGGAGTAACTCACCGGGATCATTTGTATTACATTTACTTGTTTTAATATCAATTTATCCAACAATGAAATTCATTTAATTTATTAATAAATGCAAAGATCGCAAATATATTAAATAGTATAACAGATAACCCATTATTAAAATACAGCATAAAAGCATATTGAAAATCACCACGTCTATATCATTTTTAAATTCATCTGTATATGGAAATGATACGTTTTTTTATGCGTCTGATATACGTTTATATATAAATTCGAATTATTTTTGTTATAAAATGTAGAAAATTAATTGTACGGTGTGTGACAGCATAAGATATCCACTTTTTATTTGAGAGGCCTTCTTATACGATATATCACGTGACCACATAAATCACATGATTTTATATTTTAAACTAATTATCAAAAATATAAAGATCAAATATTTGTTAAAATCGAATTAGGTATCGTTCTATGTAACTTAAATTTTTTACAGCATATTCAGCTTGTTATAAATAAAAATAATTTGATGTTCTTAAATGCAAAGTAATAAACCAATATTTGTGACTTTGCGCAATAAATAAATAAATAAATAAATTACTTATGTCATTGTGCGAAAAAAAAAACTTTTTTCTATTTTATCTGTAAAAAGAGTTAGTTAGGTTTTTTGTTTGCATCTTTGCGCATATTTTCAATACCCGATCGATGCCCGGTGGTTGCCTCACCTGAAAAGGTTAAATTTGTTTTCTTTATTTGACTTACATTTTACGATAATTAATTGTAATGTACAATTTAATTTTTTGGCTCATCATTTAATGTGATAAAATTATTATTTGACATGTGAATTACAATAGTCTAAATAAAATTACTTCCTTTTTTGGGATAAATTATTTTAATCATATTATTATAATTAAATGAGGCGCTATAACTGATATTAAATAAAAAAAAATTTTATATAATGGATATATATATTTGTTTTGTTTCGGTTTCGTTCATTTTTTAATTCGTTCATTATTTTAGAGTTATATTTAGGAATTTCTTGTTTATCAAACGCCGACAAGTATTATTATTGATTCTTTGGAAAGAAAGAAAAAGGGGGTTTTTTTTAAAAAAAAAAAAGATGATGGCAAAATTATTTATTGATTATTAAAATTTCTATGAATAATTTGATGAAATCCCTGCTTCTTTCATGTCGGTTTTGAAGTAAAAATGTGGATTTTATCGCGAATAATGAAACAACAACCTTAATGACCATAATAACTACGATAAATTATTATTATTATCTTATCATCTTTTATTGGAACACGCAACACGCACAGCAGCGTACTGCGTAGTTGATTGTAAGGCTAGAATTATCATTAAAATATTTATTGATCCGAACTTTACAAATTAGGAAAAAAAAGTGCAATTTTTAAAGAATAAAATTTTACATTTATTACAAAATAGGATATAACTTAAGATTTCTTTATTCGTTTGTTATCTTTTTTTTTAATGTATTTTTTAATATGCCTGATTATTTGTTAACTTTGTCTAATCAGGTGATGTGTATAATGCCGGTTCAGGTGATTTATATGCTTGATCGTTTCCTTTTTAAATGATCGTTCCTGAGACCTGAGTCAACCCTGAGTTTTCTGAGTCACATTTTTATATTAATCCTTATTTTTTTTACGCGACTTACTTTCATATCGTTTGGCTGAAAAGCCTGAAACAAAGAAGAATAATAAAAGTAGATACCTTTCCCATTATTATCATTATTAATTATTACCCGTATATCTTTTTTTTGTTTATCAATTTAAATATTATTTTATTATTAGAAGTTCCGGACCAATGGATGAATGTTCATTTGATGATTTATGTTACCATTATTATGTTACCAATATAAAAAATATTTATTACATAATTTGTGAACCAAGTATGGAAAATCGATCAAATATTCTAGAAAGAAAAATAATTAATTGTTTTTTACAATAAATTTTTATTTGACGCAATTGACTCGTGGATCATGAATCAATACAAAAAATAATTCATTGACATGAACTGTTCTTTACCGGTTGATATCTTTGACACATGTCAAGTTCATATGATAATTATCTCCAGCAAAAACTGCATATGTGACTCAGGATGGTTTGTTGATCCCAATCTTTGTAAGCCATAAATTAAAAAATTGTCCGTAACGCCATGATGGTCACACCAAATTATATGTAAAATAGCTTATTCGAAAGCTGAAAACCTTTAGATTTATCAATGGTAAATTAAAATGGTGTTTATTAATGTAGTAATTTTTATAATTTAATTCGTGATCCGTCTCCAAACCAGTGAATCCTACTAATGCATTTCAGGAAATTATTTTTTCAAATTAATTAACAGGAAATTTAGATAAGAGCGATAGATATAGCAGGCAGGAAATGTGATATGAGCTTACGAAATTAGTAAAGGTAGTTTAAAAGGAACTGACATTCCAAAAGTATCCACCATTCAAAATTAGATATACCGCTCAATATAAGCAAAATATCATGATGGTACAATAGTTAGGAATAATAATTTTATTTTTTTTTTGTTTATACCTTTTAAAACAATTATTTACCAGCAAATAAATAATATTTTAATAATAAAAGATATTAACTTTATGATCAGTACACTTCTTGTAATTGAATAATGTAGCGTTTTAAAGGCTGGAATCCAGCGTTGCTAAAGAAAAAAATTTTTAACTAATCATACAATGTAAAAATTTTTGGCGAACCTTAATTCCCCAGTTTTAAGCAATTGGTTACACTATTTTTCAGCCGGGGTGGCATTACAAATTTGGCTAGCTACTTTCTAGGCAATGTCACCAATTTGTATAACATCGTAACCTTAAATGACAAGTATATTTTGATCAAGCTTGTGAAATTAATATATGCTGACGCAAATTTATCATTCAATATACTTCGGAACATTATTCTATAACATTTTAAAAAAAAATTCAGGGCAAATTAACTCAAAAGCCATTTAAGGGATAATTATTTTGCCAGATAATAATTGTGAACGAATAGGTAGCCAGAAAGCGAACGGGTGGATAAATCGGACGAATTAAAGACGAAAATGAAAAATGAGTTATAAAAAAATTTAGATAACAAAAATGATTCCCCGAAATGTATTAGTAGTTTTCACTGGTTTGGAAACTGATCATGTATTAGATTAAAACTTTTTATAACTAATTTAATATGTATTTCTTTGCATAAATGGTCTTGATAATATTTGAGAAATTTTCAATGACTTTGTTATTAAAATCATTGTTCCATGAAATTTATAATTAAAGAAGTTATTTAAAATCGGTAATGGAAACTTTAAATTTTGATAACAAATTCGGGAGATTTAAAAAATTTATACTGTTAAGCCATGTATACTTTATACTCTACAGCATCATTGGCCACAGTAAAAGTTACGGCATTAATAATATTAATGGTACATTGGATTTCACACTGTTTTGCCAAACATCAGGAAATTTTTTATGTGTAGAAAATACTATGCAAAATTTCGTGCATGAAAAAACTGATTTGCACACCCTGAAAATGCATATTTAATATATATAATATGTACAGTCAGACCTCTATGTACCGATATCCTATATACCGATAATTGCCTGTACCGATAAATTTTCTATGACCCATTTCATAATAGTGTTTCAACCCGTTTACCCGCAATCCGTATCCGTGGACAGATATCCGCCATTTACGGTTATCTGGATAGGATTTTTTAAACGGATACGGATGATAAATGGATACGGATGAGAGGATTGGAGGATATCCGTAACGGATCATCCAGATTATCTGTATCACTAACGGATTATCCTCTAATTTCGTTAGATCCTTCAGTTCTTTGACCACCTGGCTTCGGAGACAATAGTTAGGTAAACTTTTTTTATTTCTTTTTTTTGTTACTTTTTTTTGTTTTTTTCACTAATTTTGTTTTTCTTCTTTAGATCCTTCGGTTCTTCGGCCACTTAAACTTTGGAGACATCGTAGTAAAAAACCTCATGTACTGATATTATACATAGTTTCATGATGTAATAACAATTGTAACATGTACCGATACTTTTCTTTGCCCTTTATAATTAATACATAGTAAGATGACTAAGATGTACCGATACTTTAGGTTACACCGGTATTAATTCGGGCCAACACTATAAATTTGGCCGGAGTTAACATAAAGGCTCTCAAATCACATGACATTTTAATATATTGGAGTTTGCATAATGCTGGCAAGAATTTGATTTTGGCCCGCATTATGATTCACTGATGACGGTATATGTAACGATAATTTGATATACCGATATATTTTCCCCAAAACAGCAGTATCGGTACATAGAGGTCCGACTGTATATTGAGTAATTTTCTATGTGATATATTGTAAAAAATTTGTACAAAAAATTACATATATAATATTGTTAACTATATTGCATAAATTTTGAGAAATTTAAGTATTTGTGCAATATTGAATACCCTAAAAATTTAGTGATGTATGCCGGCCAATTCATTGGGACAGTTCCAACTGCATCACTAGTAGTTGTACCATTAGAATCTTCAATTTATTATGGTCTAAGGTCACTTTCATTAGTAGAATCACGTAGAGTCACGTTATGATTATGGAACCTGAGGTTGTTGCGAGAGCGACTCTTAATTGTACTTGTAATTGTGAGAGTAATGTATCTAGTATATCACGTTTATTAAATTTACCGGTTTGAACTTAATATTAATATTTAAATCTTTTTTTTGTCCATAAATCAGATTGATGATTCTTTATTTACCTGGTAATTCTTTACCTGTAAACTTTATTCGAAACTTTCAGATGATTGTTTATAGATGCAAAGGTTTTTAGAAGATTTCATACGACAATGTGCGACCGATATACTTAGTGACTAATATGTATATACTGTATTTATTCATACCAATATCTTATTACATACGAAATACCTTATTATATAAAAAACGGAGGAAAACTGACAATCTTACATTAATACAGTATACTGTATATACAGTATATGTATATGTATACTAATTTTTTGACTCTAAGAGTTGCTTAAGCTTATCTTCCAAATCTTTCATCTTACTTTTTATATCATCATGAATTTCTTTTATTTTATTTTCCAATTTCTCAATATGATTCTCACCAATACTATTTACAGAAGGTCGTATACTTCGTATATTTCCAGAATATTTTGTACTTCCAGAATATCTTATTCCTTTACCCTTTACATTAATCTCACTTTTATTTTCTTTTTCATCATCACTATTGTCACTTTCTTCATCATCGGACAAAGAATCAAATTTATCAACTAAAATATATTTATGCGATTTAGAATACTTTTTAATTTCGCTTTCCCAACGTTCAACTTCTTCAACTCTAGCGACATAATAAAGATCCTTAGGGTTTTCACTTTCATCTATTAGATCGACAACAAATCTCATTAAAGTTTCGTAGTCACAGATTAAATCTGCACGAAATTTCAATACAGCTTGATTTCCTAAAGCACATGCTTCATCAAATACTGAACTAAATTAAATTATGTTGCAAATTTTAGTTAATATTATGAATTAAAGCGAATTGTTCATTAATTAAAAGTTAAACTTACGTCATATAAGCAATTAACATGTTCTGCATTACGGTAATAAGTAATATACTTGCAACTATAATTAAATATGAATTAGTAAGAACGTGTCAATATAACACAAAGTATATAATATTTAAAAATTTTCATAATTACATACAAAAACATAATGCCTGAACCGGCAAAAAATTCCATTGATCAACTTGATCCCATCGTCCATTAGTCCAAAAATAAACAGCTTCAATGGATTGCAAAAAATCCGAAAAATAATTATCACTAACTCTATCAACATCAAATGTCTGGTCTATCGTAATATTTGGAGCAATGTTATCTCCGGTAACAGCATTAAATAAAGCGAAATTTTGACCACCATCTGGTACAAGATCTATCGATTCAGGTGATCGTAGAAGAATATACCTATATATATATATATATTCATAATAAGGTTAGATACTTTACAATATATTATAGATGCAATTCATGAAATTTCCCTTACATTGAATGTGCAATCGCAATTATAAATATTAACATAAAAACGAAAAAGTAGAAAACTCTTCTTATGATATTCAAGCTTATATTAATGTAATTGGCTGGTCCTAAATAATCACAATAAATCTTAATTTTGATTTTATAATGATACTTACAAATAATTTTACAAACCTGAAAAAAATCGCAATAATAGTAGCTATAATTTAATTGAAATAAAAACAATTGAAAATCTTATTCTTTATATAAAAAAAAAAATATTTTAATTTAGAATTTAATTTGTACTTACCAATTCAATCCATAAAACAAATGTAGTTAAAGAAGCTGCAACTGTATAATAACGTAACTTTGTTTTATCCACACCCGATTCCAAAAAATTTAAAGAAATAACCAAGCTTAAAGGCATAATTATAGATATAATATCGAAAAAATTGTAAACGTTGATATATTTTCTGTAACCTTTGTTCTTTAATTGAAGGTATTCAAAGGCAAGTCGAAGATATCCTATATAAAACAACATTATTTGCAATGGGAAATAAATTCCTTTTGCGATGATAGGTGTAACAACTTCAATACGAGTTACATTGTTAGTAGTCCAAAAAATTAATGCAAAAATAATATATGTTGCATAAGAACGAATAAAGTAAATTTGTGCCTTGCTCCATTTATAATCTATTAATGCAGCAAGTGAAGGATTTGAGAATGTCGTTATCCTATTATCACGCATTAATGCGCGATGAAAAGGAGAATATTGCGAATCTACTAATTCAACATATATATGAGGCCAAACAACATTTTTCAAAATACGCCAAGCTAAATAATGATCAAGAAATTTCTCTTCTTTATTTGTTGAAGTACTAGGAGGAAAAGTAAAAAAATCTGGAAGTGGAACGACATTCAACTTTGTCAAACATGGATCGTGTTTACGATTAAGGCTAATTAAGCTATATTTAATAATGATAAAATAAATAAAATATTAAATTTTAAAAAAAGGCTCCTTATAATCAAAACCATAGTAATTAATGAATCTAACTTACTTTAGTTTTAAATACATTTTAATATCTTCAAATTTTTTTTTAAATCCTGGAATTATAGCACTTGGCTTTCTTGATAGTCCTTGTCGAATATTTATCGAATGTATATTTTTCTGTTGGGCTTTCCGCAATTCATATGAAGATATTAAAGAATCATCAATATATGACTGTCTCGTTCCAAAACATGGTTTATAAAATAACTCCTTAACATAATAATCCAGGTGACGGTCGTATAAGAGTGGTAAAATCTGTGTGACCGAAATCATCCATCCAGTATTTTTCATTGCATTATCAGAATAGTAATCTAACAAATATCCAACAATTATTGATTCTTTTCTATGTACCCCAGTAATAGATTCGATAGCCACTTCTAAGTCACTCTTTTTTGGAGAATTGGACTCCCAAGAATATAAACGTGGGAAATGTAAATGATTATTCATCTTTGCCTTCATTGCTTTTGAACCTTCTGAACTTTTAAAATTCTCCGTTTTGATAAATAAAATTCTTTTGATAATAGAAACACAATTTCCTCGTATAAGATTTCCCATTATGTCATATCTAATATCAGTTAATTGAAAAATGAGAGGATTATATTTAATAAAATTTTTAACAATATTTTGTACTTGAATTCGAAATTCTTCGAATAAAAGTCCTTTCCTTGGACTTACAGGATTGTCAATAAGATAATGACAATATTCAAGTGCAACACATGCATCTTTAAGAATTAAGACATTATGTGGCCAATGTATTTGCATTTTGTCTTTTTTGTTTATAATATCTGGTAGATCCTCTTTTTCGTCGTGTAATGTAAATTCAAGTAAAAATTCATTTCTTTCTACTAATAAAGATTTAATTTCAATTTTTTGTTTATTACCTATCCAAATATATTCAAGACGCGATACTTGATTATCTCCTTCTGATAATCTTCTCCAAACTTGTACAGAAAAAACTCCAATGATTAATTGAATAGATTTATCTTCATTAAGAAATACTGATATTCGAGAACATTTTTTATTGCTTATCCATGGTTCGCTGTAGATAACAATAGCATCATTCTCTGTCGTATGACTATCCAGTATATTGTCTAAGTGAAAAATCGCATGTTTTTTCATACTTCCACTTATTTCTTGTGCAACGATTATATCTAAGGGTTTTAAAAAATAATTCATAGATTTTTTAAGAGCATCGATTAGATCCGGATGATCTAATAAAGATTTAACAGTTCCTTTTTTATCTATATAAATCGTATTTCCATTAGAATTAACATAATTATGATAATGTCGAAAGATATCTAACGAATTTAAAGAATCATGAATGATCGTGATAGAATCTTCTACCGAATTTGAAGAAAATAAATCCCAAATTATAAGTATAGGTACAGTAGTATTCATTGATTTTTTTTTTCTGATTTTAACTACTTCAATCTCGTCTGAATTTTCAATTACATGACTTCCTCTAACCTCTCGCTCTCCAATAATCAATAATTTTTCATCGTTGCAAATAAATTGAATATAAATTATATCATTTATATTTGTAAATTCCTTTGTACAAATTTTCAAAGTATTTTCCATTGAAAATAATGTAATATGATTTTGGTGATATTTACTATTATAAGCCAATAATTTTTCATTTTTCGAAATTTCAATTATCATATAATTTTTAATAGAATTAAAGGCCTTATTAAAATTGGAATTTAAAGTTTCTTTAATATTCTCATCAGAATCTACTTGAAACGATTTAATTAATCCACCACCCTCTAAATTGTAACATTCAAGCATATTTAATTTATCTGATTTAGAATCTTGTAAGAAAAGATAATTATTCTTGATATTTTTATTGAATATATTTAATTGTGGTCTATCTTCAATGCAAGCTTTTATTTGTTTTGAAATTGACATTGGGAAATAAAATTCAATTGTACCTTTTGAATTCTTGGCAATTAATTTATTAAAAAATGTTTTTCTTAACGAGTTCCAATTATTATTATATTGACGATAATTTATAGGGATTAAAGTTTTTGTAATACCATAATCATGAATGATAATAAGAGTCTGCTTTTTGGGATCTGACGGACTAAGAAACTTTACTATACCACCAAGATGATCAATTGTAGTGCGAATTCTTTCTTTATTTAAAGTGGAAAATAACCAAGTAGAATCAAAGCTTGCCATTTCCCCATTTTCCATTTCAGTTAGAGTTTCAACAGTCTCATTAGTGTCACTTGTATCTGTTGTATCTGTTATATCTGTTATTATATTGCATATAGATTGTCTTTTTATGGATTCAAAATATTGCGCAGAATTTTGATCTTCTGACATCAAATAACGATATTTATTAAAGCAAGATAATGCAATTAAGACTTCTCCATTCGCTGATTTATTAGAAATTGAAATTGACCAAGTTATACCATCAAATAAATTGCTATTAAGCACTTGGAAAGGTTCGTAAGCTAATTTTCTTTGCTTATCTAATCTGTCGATTGTGCAAGTTGATAATTCCAATTTGGCTAAAAAGTAATTCATAAACAAAAATTAATTTTTAACTTTCTTTTTTTTAGATATTAAATTATTAAAAATTCTTACTTGAGTCGAAGATCGCAACCTCTTGTCCATCTTGACTCAGAGCAACATAATATTTAGACATAATTAAATTATAAAATATTATGCCTAAGAAAAAAAATTAATGCATCAGTATATGATCTATTTAAATACAATTTCGGTAACTTCAGTACACATGTTATTCATTCATTCATATACAGGAGAATTAAAGTTTGTCGATCTAAAATGAAGATTTCGGTTTCAAAAAAAGTGCAGATCAAAAATCACCACGGATTTTTCCTTTTTTAAAAAAAAATGCGGAGATATAATGAAACATTTGGAATTATTATGGTCCTTTTCGGCTTTAATTTTGTTGTACATGATACTGTTCATTATGAATGACGGGCAAATATTTTACAGTAATTAGTGAACTCGTTTATCCGAACCGGATAACGGATACTTCTAAGTCACGTGATTTAATGCCGGCCGGCACTACCAATGTTCCGCCAACACTAGGATTTAAAAAGAATTTATTGTAATAATTAATTTAACTAATTCTCTAATTGTATAAGAATAATAAAGATCCATTTCAACCTGTAAATTCAATAATAATAAAAAAATAAGTTTTTTTAAATATTAGCTAAACCAAGAAAACCTAGTTAAATTCTTAAACTATTACAAATAAGAGTGAGTATTATAATACATCATCTTTTGAACATAAAAGGTTAGGACCCTTGTCAAATCATGTGCCTATGAGAGAATCATCTATTAATTTACAGTATTACCATAACAAAAACTCATTGCATACCTTGCTTGCAAAAGTACAATTACGTCCTATTAAGAGGGATTATTCCCATTAGAAAAAATAAGTATAGAACACACTCTATTTATCGAATAATTATCTTCCATTTGTTTTCTATTGCAAAGAATCTGTCATCAGATGTACAAGTCATGCAGTTACTCTTATTCCAACGCAAGATATATAATTTACATAGAGCATATAGAATAGGTTTACAGATAGTTTTGTATTATAAGATTATGCATCGCATCAGGCAATTAATATATTCACTTTACTTCGTAACTGCAATGAACTGTACAATTATTGTTCGTATAGGATTTATTTGGGTCTTTTTTCCAATAGAAACATTTTATCTATTACGTGAGACAATTATCTCATTGATTACTCGGCGATCAAAATTTTATCAGATCATTTTAATAGAACTGCAGCATAAAGAGAAATTCATATTTATTAATTTTATTTAAAGAAAGTGTTTGTTTACATTATCAATCTTATAAAAAAAATGTTCCTTTAAACCTTCTTGATGTACAAAAAAAAAAAAAAAATTGCATGGGACAAAGTCTAGTTTTTTTTTAATAATTCCATAATATTTTCCATTTGTTGACTAAGTTTATCCATTTGTTGTTTAAGACTAACGTTCTGTCTTGGAAGCTCTTCTTTCGTTTGTTCTATTTGCTCTAGTTCATTGTCTTGTTCTTCCTTGTTATCTTGTTCTTTATTATCTTGTTCTTCCTCATTCTCATTATCTTGTTCTATTCCAATATATTTCATAATACGTTCCATTTGTTGTTTAAGTTCAACATTTTGTTTTGTAAGCTCTTCTTTTATATGTTGTTTAAGCTCAACATTTTGTTTTGTAAATTCATCTTTCGTTTGTTCTATTTGCTTCTCTAGTTTATTATTTTGTTCTTCTTCATTAGTAAGTACCACTAACTTTCTCAATTTCTCACTGATAATTGGAGGATAATTAAACACAGTCTGTTCATTATCAATTGCATTAATTAATTTACGAATCTCAGTCACAGGTATATCATAATAACTTAAAAGAATTAAAATATGTTATTAATAATAAAATGTACAAAAAAAATTTTAATATTAACAGATTATATACGATATAATTAATACTTACATCCAATCTGGAAACCATTTGTTGTTATTACGTTGCCATGGTAACATATAAAATATTTCAATCTCCATAATAATCTTTAAAAGAAAGTGAAGTGTTAGTTATTTAGTAAAATAAAATTTGATATAATTAACAATGTAAAAAATGGTTACTTGTGCTTTTTGAAGTAAAAACTCTTCTTCTTTGTTATAATCATCAATTGCTAGGTTGAGTAATCCAATAAATAAATTCATAAGGTAGATTACTGTGAAAAATGTAAAGGTAGCCAATAGAATGGTCATAATAGAATGTTCACGATAAGTAAATGATGATAATGATCCGGAATCACCTATAATTATATCAAAAAGTTATTAAAATATTTAATTTTATTTTTTAAAAAAAACTGGTAAATAAATAAAAAAATAAATTATTACCAGTGAGAAGATTATATACTGCTAAAAGTGAAGTGGGGAACCAATTAAATAAATTTGTATTTGAATCAGGTTCTTGAATTATTGATGTAGTATTATTTATAGTTCCATCCGAATTAACGAAATCATATTTAGTTGCAAGATTCTGTGGATTATTATCATCATTAATACTATTTGATCTTAGAATAATGAAAAATGCTTGAGCATATCCAAGTATTATAAAAAATAAGAGCACTAAAAATGGAAAAACTTTTTTCGCAACACCAATTATTATTGCAAAATAAATTCCAAACGATTTAAATACTCTAAAAAATAATAAAAATTTAAAACTCAATAATATAATAGATATTGCCATAAGCCAAGGTGGTTGGCTTTTATTAATAAGCCAAAAAATGGATGTTATAATAGGTAAAAGATATGCCCCTACATCTATTGATGATTAAATACAAGTTAATTTTGTTTTAATGTAAGAGCAATTAAATAAAAATTACTTACCAAATAAATTCCATATATCATTTAAATAAATTTTATAATCCCATAAAAGATATCGAATTTCAAAAATTAAAAATATTGAGCCAAATATAATGGAAATTATAAAAAGTAGTGTAAAAAAAAGATCAGGGATAGATTTTTGTTCTAATGTAGAAGCTAATGCATAACAAACATAAAAACTGTATAAAATAACCAGTTCAGATAATAGTAAATTCTTCCAAAAGTTTTCCACTTAAAATCTATAATTGCAGCAAAATTCCACCAATTATAAAAATTATTACTATCTATATTGCAAAATAGAATAGATTTTGGTTTATTTAAAAATTTATTCCAAATACTATTACTTTTTGGTATCATCATGATTATTTTTAGTCCTGTGATCATTTTTTTTAATATTGTTATTATTTTTGATTTAATATTGTGGTTATTTTCAGTTTCATCATCATTTTTGGAGTCATCTTGATATACACAAATTTTAGGAAAAGGAACAATGAAACTGATTACTTGGATTTCTTCCTCTATCCTTAAATGCTGAATTAACCATTCATATATTGTTGAAATAGACTTAAAATAGTTATTTTTCATATTTGATTCTTTAATATAAATAAAATCTGTGTATGAATAAAGTGAAGTATTTTTTGAATATTTAATGTTATAACAATAAGGAGATAATATAAAAGAAGTGCGTGAGATATATTTGATTATGTAATCAGGATAATGATCACAAAATTCTGGTAAGTTTAAACTAATGATAGTCATGTAACTTTCGGAATAATCTTGAATTAGTTCAATAATTTGTTGAACAATATGATCGCATCTTTTTTTGATTGCTATTTTTAATATTTCATTTCCAAATCTTGGTGATAAATTATTTACAACAATTTTATAAACAATAACATTCCAATTTTCTTCAATTGCTTTTTCTAACATTTTAGTTTCAAATTTCGGCGTTACAAAATTATCATTTATAATATCTTCAATTATTTCATTTTCATGGTCCTCTACAAATTTTGTGATAGGTATTGAATGTTTTGAATCATCAAATTCATTTCTTAGAATTCTTTCAATAAGTGACTTGTAGTGTGTGTTAGTAAAATTAATATCGTAATGATTGCCACAATCTTTTTTGAAGTTTTCATAAATATCATTCCATTCATTATTATTCCAAAAGTATCGATATGTAAACCCATTACCGAATGTATAAATACTGATTCCTTTCATATCAATTATTACCCAATCCTGGTTATTTAATAGTCTAAATGAGAGCATACCACAAATACATATTGGTACTTCTAGATTGTATCCATTTGTTTCAATTCTCATATGATCATAATTGTTTTCATTATAAAGAACAATTTTACAAAGTCCGATATCTTCAATTTCAACTTCATCTTTTAACACAATCTCTTCAGGATATGATGGTGCAACCTTTTTAATGTCCACTTGGTTAATAATTTCATTAAGCATACTTTGTATAATTTTAAAGGTAGATAAAGTATAAATACTATTTCTATATGTGGTCTTGTCTGATAATTGTTGCAATTTATTTTCATCAATTCCATTTGTGATACAAACATTACCATTATCAATGAAAATTTTTCTATTTAAGTTAGTCATCACACTTGTATCATTAAAATCACTGGAAATATTAATTTCATCATAAACTTGGTAATAAGGATCTACAAGTTTACGTTCATGACCACGCCTAACGAATAATCTTTCGGAATTATTTTTTATAGTTATGAATTTGATTGGTACCCCATCATCTGTGAATAAATTATAATTAGAATATATGAATATCAAAATTATATGCATCGTAAAAGTAATACTCACACTTATAAATCAACATTCCGGTTTCCATTGAATACATGTAAGTTTTCCATGCTGATTCTATCGCCAATAACGTTTGATTTTTATCCATTATTACTGGATAAGGATTCGAAGGAAATTCATGGTATTGTCTTTCTAAATTCATTGTCAATAAATCAAATTGAAGCATTTTATTATAGTTAACAATTAGAAATAACTTTGTTCGATATATAGGACAATATTTCAAATTAATTTGACCATTTATTAAATCTTTGGGAATTTTTATATCAATAATTTGAGAACATTCCCAAGGAACTTTATTTTTTGGTTTATCTATTAAACGGTACTTGTAAATTTTGTGATCACTTGATGATACATGAATTAAATCACCATTAGGAAGGAATCCAATAGCATTATGTCCAAATTCTCCCACACCACAAGAAATGGGATTCTTTAGTTCAAGAAATCGGTCACTACTAGTACGATCATTATTTAAATCAATCAACCCTACAATTACAATATAAATTATTAATTAAACATAAAATTAAATTACTATTATTTTGAGTCAAAGTAAATACTTACAATGCTTCCCAGAATAATATATTGACAAGATTTTTTTACTTAGTTGTGCATAATCGCATAAACTATTAAAGAGATCGTCTATTTGATCAACCTTAAAATAAACATCGGGTTGTTGTGGACTATTCTTTTCAATGTCAATTGACCATCCAAGAACTGATTTATCTTTACGACTATAAGTAACAACATAATTTTCTGAACCATATTCTTCATTGATATATTGAGAAACAATAATTCGATAAATTGATTTCTTATGTTTTTCAATTTCTTCATCCTTCGTTTCTGATGGAATGTCATTTGTAACTTCTATTGTTAAAGTATTATTTTGAGTTTCAACTTCTTCCATATTACGTGAATGAATTTTTATTTATAAAAATTTACGAAAAATAATATTTTTTTTTTTTTTTTTTGTCGTGCCTTTAACGAATTTTATAAAATTTGATTTCATTAAAAATTTCCATTTAAATTAAGTATAATAAATATGCACGCCAATTTTTTAACGATAAAGTTAACTTGGACAAAAAAGGTGAAAATTAATATTTCATCATGCATAATGTTTGGTACAAAATATAGCGTCAGCGAGAACGATAAAAAAAATTTTTTTTATTGTAACTTTTGATTGTGCAGGATAAAATAGGTTAAAATCACAGAAACTTTATTTATTTATTTATGTTTGAACGTATGAATCAGTTAAAAAAACCAGGACATTTAAAGATAAGTGTATATGTGCGAGTTTTACACCCATTTGTATGGCAAGCCGGGCTGGGTGTCTGTTTAATTGAGTCAGGTCTAGTGTTGGCGTTTAGCGTTAAACAATGTCAATCATTAGCCTATTTAACCTAAAGCTATAAAAGGTTAATCATTCTTACGTCAATCAGCCTGACAATCATTTATTATTAAACTCCCCACCAAAAAATTTTCGGTAACGTGACTTTGTACTACTAATCTAAAAATAGTAGAAGTAATATTTTTCACAGCGCGTTTTTTCCAGTAATTCACCTTGAAATATATATTATTCTTTTTTATTATAGTCTATTCTATTTTCTTAAACTTATTGTATTATTTTGTTGTGAAAATAAAAACGCGTTTTTTATATTAAATACAAAATTTATAAAATTTTATTTACAACCTTGGGAGTATAAAAGGTGAACTATTAAGTTAACACGAAGATTTATTGTTAAATTTCTAAAATAATAAATAATTTATTCACTTATTTTAATAAAAAAACCAACAATAAATTTTGTAAAGTGAAAAGGACTATTACTGATAAGAAATATTTAAATTAAACGCTTCTTTATTTTTTTTTTGAAAAAAAGCTGCGAAATTTTTTCTAAGATATGTTGTATAAAATAAATCTGACCAATAAAACTCGTCAAGTCACGTTACCGAAAATTTTTTGGTGGGTAATTGTTTTTTATAATAAATTTTTATTTGACGCCACGCCGCCACGGATTCCCATTTTCTTCAGATCCTAATTTATTTTGCAGATCCTTAATAATTGTTTTGGAGAAAATATATCGGTATATCAAATTATCATTACATATACCATCATCAGCGAATCATAATGTGGGCCAAAATCCAATTCTTGCCAGCATTATGCAAACTCCTGATAGCTAATATATTAAATGTCATGTGATTTTGATATGTTAACTCCGGTCAAATTTATAGTGTTGGCCCGAATTAATACCAGTGCCTAAAGTATCGGTACAACTTACTATATATTAATTACAAAGGGGCAAAGAAAAGTATCGGTACATGTTACAATTGTTACATCGTGAAAATATATATAATATCAGTACAATGAGGTTTTTTTATTAATTGTGAAATGGGACATAGAAACAGACAATTATCAGTACATAGGATATCAGTATAGAGGTCTGACTGTAGTAGTAATTAAACGGGTTTGCCATTTTTATTAAAATTATTACTTTTTTTAAAATAATTTATAACATGATTTGATTCTACACTACCGGATTCTGTTGATACATGTACTTTACCAATATTTTCAGAGCTAAAACGAAGATGATGGTATTGTGTTATACAAAATGATTCCTAAAAAATGCACCAAAATTGCACCAATTCCAATTTATTCCATTACTATATAAAATTGCTTCATAGAATACTGTACATATGCAATAGTTAAATCATCCTTACTTTTATCAATATTATCATTTATGGCTATATTTTATATGTTCAATATATATCGCTACCACGATAATAACAAATATATTCCTTTAACAAATGTGAACAATGTGGACAATGTAGTTTTTTTTTAAAAATATTATTATGATAAAGATCCAAAAAATTTAACTATTCAAATGATTTTTGGAAAATAAATAACCAACAATGTATTTTATTGTATTTATATTTATAGTCATCAAAATTTCTATCATTTATTATCAAAAAAAAAAAAAAAATCGGAATAACAAGAAAAAGATTTTTTGTGTTCATTTTGTTGGTTATATGATATAATAATAATACTGGCTGGAGTTTGTAAAAATATTGTTCTATCTGTAATTAAAAGAATCACTTAATAAGTTTTACTTTTTAATACTCTTACACATGATCTTGCGTGATTGACACAA